CCCTGTCTGCAGCCGCACGCTGGCTGGAAAGGACATCTCCCTGTGAAATCCCCCCCTCTCTTTCGCACAAGCGTTTGCCAGTGCATGTGCTCTTGTCCCAGGCTACGTGAGAGGGGTCAGCACACTTGAGAGCTGGGGGTCAGGCCGGGTACTTTCAGGCTCGCAGCCTCGGAGGGGGAGCGGGAGCGACGAAGTCAGCCGGGACCACGACCGGCCTCGCACCCCCTCCCGCTCTTAAGGCACGGCACCCTCGCTAACCTGCTGTGCTCAGCTATTTTGTGGCATAAGGAAATGCAAATGGCAGCAAGTGATGTGTGAAGATCCCTTCATCCTGCGTTTGGTTCCTCGCAGAAAATGAGAGTGATCCTGGGAGATTTTATACACCCGAGTGCAGGAATAGCTCTGTGCAAAATAAAAGTCCCGTCTAAAAGCTCCATGGGTTTCATCTCTCTCCGCATCACATAGCACCTTCCCTCCAAGATGGGTCACCTCCAGACATAACCCAAAGTTGTCGCTAGCCTTCCGCCTGCCTCTGCCCGCTTTTCCCTGCCTGCCTTTCAGAAGCGTCCAGAAGATCCTCCGACACTCCCACTGCGTTGCCCCCTCGCCCCTGCTACAGCTCCAAGGTGCTCTTTGCCCACCTAACTGTCTCCATCGCTTTCAGGGATGGGGGAATTCGTGGCTCTGTGCCGCACGGCAGGAGCTGGGGAGCGGGGAGGACAGGGCAGCTGCGATAGTCCCTCCGGCCGCCGCACATTGTCCGCCCCCCAGACCCAACACCTTCCCTACGACACCTCGAGAAACTCGGCCACCTGACTACATACATGGTGCGGGAGGCTTTTTCCTTTGGGACGAATCAGGGGGCGCTTCTACTTACAAAATACGCTGCCATATTAGTAGCCCACCCCATCGAGGAAGGAGAGGGGTTTATCTTCCTTCAAAAAAAAAAAAAATCAGTGAAAATCTGCAGCTTCAAAGAGGGGATGGGGTGTGTGCCGCGTTGGATTTGCCTGGTTTCTTCCTACAGTGGAAGAGCGGAGGCATCTGGGGAGCAACGAGCAACAGAAAGGCCTCATGAATGCGGCTCCGAGAGGCAGGAGATGGACACGCCGAGGTGAGCACGGCGGCGCACCGAAGCCCGGCCGGAGGGGTGGGATACCGCAGCGTCGGGACTCTGCTCCCAGCTCCGGGAGGTTGGGCACTCTCTGGCGGCCTCCTCGATCCTGGAAAAGGCCGGAGAAGGCCTTCATGGGCGCGGGGAGCCGAGGACCGGCAGCCGCCGCGTCGCCGGTACCGGCCGCGCACTGGGGCTGCTGCCGCCGTACAGGCCATTTGCTGAGGGCAACTCACGCGAGTCGGTTTAGTGGAGAAGAGAGGGTGAGAGAGCCAGATTTGAGGGAAGGGAAAGGAGGGGGAGCACCTCTGCCTCCCCTCTGCGACGCCGCGGTGTCGGGGGATGCGGGCAGAGACAGCGACCCCGAAAGACACCGGCTGGCGGCACCCGGGGCTCCGGCCGCGTCGTGCATGACGGCGCCGCTCAGTCCCTCTCGGCACGAAGGGGAAGGCAGGGAGTGGAAGCCCAGCTTCTATCTGACCACGGCTCGAATCTCTTGCAGGTTCTCCCGCCCCCAACTCCCACTTTGCTTTTCCCAGCCGGGGGACCCCGTGGTGAGGGCGCGGGTGCGTGCCAGGGCAGCCGCCGGCGGAGCGACCCGCTTCTCAGAGCGAGCCCCCCTGCCTGGGGACGCGTGCCCTTTCCCGGGTGGAGAAGCCCCGACCACCCGCGCCCCTGGCCCTCCTCTCCCTGCCGCCTTTCCCTTCCGATTCTTCAATGATTTCCTACCTGAAAAAATTAATCTTTTTGCCAGACAGGTCAGAAGCGATCAACAGGCTGTTGTATGTTATAATGTTTTCATATTCCTTTCGGCTCCCCCTGCCCTCTACCGACTCACTGTAGATGTGACCTTTGGTATTTCAGCCCACACTCAGCAGTTGAATGGAAACAAGTTGAGCACGTTCACTTCTGATAAACATTATCCTTAAACCACTGGAGACCCGAGCAGAGTAAACGAGCTTTTCCGACAGGACCACATCAGGAACACACATTGAAAAAGGGAAAGAAACCAAATATCCAGGAGATCAGAGGCGGGCTCGAGGGTGGAGGGGTGGGAGAGGAAAGGAGGGGGAACAGACAGGTTGGAGGACACAGCGGAGGGGGGAGAAAAGGACACAACTGTGAACACAATAGGCATAGATGGGAAGAGAAGCTGCCCGGGCAGCGTGGGAGAGCAGCGCAGGGTCACGCCCGAGCATCCCAGCAACCCCGAGAGAGCTTTAGGAGTGTCAAGCGGGTCCAGGAGCGACGGATTCGGGCTTACACTATCCGGGCGTCCGGAGACGGCCCCCGGACACACGCCGCTCGACTGCGCAGGAGCGACGGGAGTCCCGCGTGTGCAGGGTGGCCGGGGCGGCGGGCATAGCATGCAGGGCAGAGCGGGCGGCGGGCAACCCAGGCCCCACCGGGCTTGGAAGGCACGCCTGCAGGGCAGGCAGCCTTGTCTGTGATCCCGACAAGAGGTAAATACGCTGTTAAAGAGGATCGGAAGTTTTACGGACGCGCACTCCCTTTCATTGTTTAAGTACATAAATAACTTAATTAAAGGCTGGATCCGAGTCCCACTAGTTCAATGCCTCCTGCCTTAAAAATAGCCAAAGGAGGTCATCTCACAACTCTGAAAGGAGTTACGGCTTCAGCAAATGCCTGCTAGTACCTCCTGCACAGAATGCCAGCGCTTTCGGACAGTGGCATCTGCGCGGGTATGAGGGGTGTCCGCTTTACCAGAGGTAATTTTATCTAGGTTGAGAAAGCACCACAATTTACTGGTGTGATACTCTGAAAGGGCAACTCACGCTTCTGAAGTAAATACAAAGCTGTAATAGAAAAGTTGCCGTTCTTGTGCAGATTTTTGTTTTGTTTTTAAATCCGCGTGGAGAAAACAGAAGTCTCCGCCGATATTCCGATCAAACTAAGAGATACCTGCAAAAGAACCACGATTGTCTTCTTTTCACCACAAAATGCGTGCAACATGCCATCAAATTCTGGGAAATCTCCTGTAACATCCTATTTGTTCATAGTTAGGAATGCAATATATCATTGCGATATGTGCAGGTTCTGAAATCAAGCTCAGTTATTTCTTTTCATAAAAATATCTTACAACATTTCAATTAAAATATTGTATCAATATACAACGCCTATACACACCAGCGACATAAATTTGGTGGTTTACTTGCCGATATTTCCCATCATCATCTTATTTCTTTTCAAGTTTTATTTAAAGTAGAGAGCCTGTACTTTGAGACTCTACTAAAAAAAAAACAAACAAAACAAAACCAAACCAAAAAACCAAAAAACAAAGCAGCAAAGACGAATCTCAGCAAAAAAAAAGTACAGAAGAACATGACAAATTCTTAGCTGGAGCTGGGAAGCCCAAGATCTCTTTGTGCAACATAAGTGGGGCATATGTAAGAGGCACACACACAAGCTGGGATCTCGATCCGTACACCTAATGCCAAAGCAAACACTTCTTCCACATACACGCCGTGACCCACATATTCTTTATTTCCTGCCATCTTTGTCTGTTTTTCTTTTAATTGCTAATATATATAAGTCCCTTTGATAAAGTCGCAATCAGCTGCGAGGCGTTGACATTTTACGGTTAAGCTCAGTGCAATATTTACTGTGGGGATGAAAACAATACCGGGGCCGGTCTCCATTGGGCAGGGAGCACCAGACCCGTGTCGGTCTGCAGTGACTGGAGAGCACCAGCATCCTAGTATCGGGCACTACAAGACCCGTCCCGTCTCCTCCCACGGCAAAATAAAATACAGCTCCGTCTCCCGACTGGTTTGTGATTTCCACAAAAAATGACTCAATTCTCATCCCTCACAGCCTTCTCGTACACCTCCCATGACACATTCGTTAGCGAAAAGGTGGTTTATTATAACGAGACTACCACAAACGAGAAAGAACTCTCCCGCGTCTGCAAACTCAACGCGGGGAAACCGCGTGTATGTCAAGACATCGCTCTGCTTCAGCCGGGGAAAAGGGGAACCTCTCGGTTAGCCAGGAAGCCCCCTCTCCAGCCGCTTTCTCCGGGAGAAGGGCCAGAACAGCGGCGCAGCGGTCCGACGGCTGCCTGGTGCTGCGCTGCTCGCCGACCGTGCCCCGGCCCCGCGGAGCTGCCTGCCAACCCCCCTGGTCCCCGCTGGCCGAGCAGTGCCCTGCCCTGGGGCCAGCCCCCGTCAGCTCTGCCCGACGCTGGCGGCACTTCCCGCGCAACTCACCACCGCAGGTGCGGAACCGCCGTCCCGGCGCGGCGGGCCCAGGTGCCGAGCGCCCTGCGCGGGAGCGGAAGGGCCGCCGCCGCGGCGCTGTCCGTCATCTCCCCTGGCCACTGGGAGGGCGGCTGAGCGGTGGGGCCGCCCCCGGGGGCGGGCTCGGAGGGGGCGGTGGGCCACGGGCCCGGCCCAGGCCGGTCCTGCCCACGCTGCCCTGAGGTTGAAATGCAGAAGTCAAGGCTCTCTCGTCGGGATGCAGATTTTCTTGTAGCCATTCCCCCCCCACACCTTCACGCCCCTGCTTTCTCCTCGGCGGAGATCAGAGAGGCTCGGGGCCAGTGCAGCCGGGAGCGCAGGAGGCTGGGAGCCGGTGGCCGGGCATAGGGATTCGTTGGGATTTAGGGCCGCCCTCGAGGTGCCCCGCTCAGAGGAATGGGTAAGTGTCCGGGAGCCGCAGGAGGGTTCAAGTGCTGTCAAGAGAGGGGGAGCGCCCATGCGTCGTCATCTGCCACCGCCGCGGCTCCCTTATTGACTTTGCTCGTGTTCCTACAAGTTGTAAGAGCACGTTGAGGGTCAGGGGCAGGGGAGAGAGAGAGCTAATGACTACTTGGTTTGTTATTAGTGTTATTAGGCGAGTGTGAAGCAGGATCGGAGCCGAGGGGATGGCTAGAGCCCGTGACACGTTGTATATTATTCCTGACACTGATCGTAGTAGTTAACATTTTAGCAAGTTTGTTTTACAGCCCAGTGTAATCGTGCTGTTAAGCGAGAGGCGCTAACAGCACCAGGGACAATCTTTAAAAAGTTAGTCGCGATTTAGAAGCACCGCGCTGCCCTCGTCTCTCCCAAGATGTAAAAGAATTTCCTCAACTACTTTTCCGTCCTCCCCCTCCTCCACGTCTTCGAAAATGTTTTTCTTTTCTTTTCGTTCTCTTCGCGTTCCTTTTTCCTGTGGTAATAAAACCGACTTTTCTGTTGGGGCGATCTCGTTTTTCATCTCTGGAATGTGTTGGTTTTTTTTTTTTTTTTTTCCCTTAATATTCCAGATGATGCACAGTCCGGAGAGCTGCAAAATTTGTTGCCACGGATTTTCTTTCTTTCCTTCTTTTATTCTTTTTTCCTCACTTTTTCTTTTTTCTTTTTTGTTTTTTTTTTCCTCCCCTTACATCTATTCCCATCTCCCCTCCTTCAATTTCGGGGACATATCACTGTTTTAAGGAATTGTGCATAGAGTGACCGGGGGGTCCCTGCCTGTGACATCTGTCTGTGATGAGGAACGGCTCAGACGCCCCCTTCTGTGCCATTCGCCATGTCCGACAGCTGTGTTTGTGCATTTGCTTGCAGAACCTGCCTTCGGGGAAGTGAACCAGCTCGGGGGGGTGTTTGTCAACGGGAGACCCCTGCCCAATGCCATCAGGTTGCGGATTGTGGAACTGGCACAACTGGGTATCAGACCGTGCGACATTAGCCGGCAGCTCCGCGTTTCTCACGGCTGTGTCAGCAAAATCCTGGCTCGCTACAACGAGACCGGCTCCATCCTACCGGGGGCTATCGGAGGCAGCAAGCCTCGGGTCACCACTCCCACGGTGGTAAAACATATCCGGACCTACAAACAAAGGGATCCGGGCATCTTCGCCTGGGAGATCCGGGATCGCCTGCTGGCCGATGGCGTATGTGACAAGTACAACGTGCCGTCGGTCAGCTCCATCAGCCGCATCCTCCGGAACAAAATCGGGAACCTCTCTCAGCAGAGTCACTACGAGTCCTACAAGCAGCACCAGCCGCCCCCACAGCCTGCTCTGCCCTACAACCACATCTACCCCTATCCCAGCCCCATCGCTGCTGCAGGAGCCAAGGTGTCCACCCCTCCCGGGGTTCCGGCGATCCCCAGCACCATGGCCATGCCCAGGACCTGGCCGTCCTCTCACTCAGTGACGGACATCCTGGGGATCCGGTCCATCACAGACCAAGGTGAGGAGGTGGGGGGGACCTGGGGCCGCAGAGACAGCCAGATAGGGCCGAAGCGTTTCCGTCCCCTGCTCCTGGGCTCCTTTCTCTCTGAGGGTCGGCCAGTTGTTATAGTTGTTTCATTCGGGAAACCTCTGGCGTTTTCCCCAGCACGGGCCGGCACTGAGCTTACTGGAGGATGTGTCTCGGAAGGTAGGCAGACCGAAGGTACTGTGATGGGCTGCAGGCGCACCAGCAACCGTCACCGCCGCCACTCTGGCCCGAGAAGTGGTGACCCTGGCCGGAGAGAACGGCCCGGGTTGAGGCGGCACCAGGGAGCACTCGGTCCGGTCGCGTCCTGGTCCTGACCAAGGCTCGCTGCCGCCCTCCAGTCACGGGCGCCGCCTTGGCGTTACCGAGAAGTCCGTTTTCTATAGTTTTCGCAATCAGGCCAAATTTGCTCCGGCAGGAAGTTCAAATGTCACCTAATTGCTTTCATTCTATGCTGTATTTTCCTCCGAAGCGGTGGTCCAGGAAAACCGAAGCCCCAAGATTTGTCTCTTTTACCTTCTTTCTGTTCCTCTGCCTGGAAACTGCGTCGCGTCTCCCAGCTGCTCGCTGTGCCTTGCTCCAAAGAAAGGGACGTTTTTTTCCATTTCGGTCTGTGCCAGTGAACTAACAGTGAAATTGGTTAAAACAACAGTCCAAAATAACCTTCGCCTATAGTCATCTCTGTGTCTCACTCTTCTTTCACAGTTAGTGGAGAGGGTAGGGCTGGGGGCTGTGATTTCTGTTTTCACTGCGTTTTGAACAGCAACAGTCCCATTCCAGCAACATTTCAAATGCAAAACAATCTTTTAGGCATTGCAGAATAATTTTCTTTTTATTTCT